AATGTACACGTAAAAACACATCCAGTGAGAACAAAATATATTATATCGTATACGTTACCCGTGACCATTTCTTTCAAAGAAACAAACTATATCAAGGGCAAAATTTGTTTGCTTGAGCTACAATTTAAAATAACTTAGCCCGCGGTTATGAAGTGGGAAATGTGAACAAGTCTTGGTCTTACTTCCAAGCTACTTTTTAGTCCCTGTAGCTGACCATTTTCAAACGGTAATATCTCACAGACTATCAATATTTTCAAATTCTGTAATAAGTAAAAGACCATATAATGACTAAACAAATTTTTATTGTATGTTAAATATTACGGCGATTGGAAGTGATTTAGCATTTTTTCCGATTTTACAAAAGCGTCTTAAAACCTGTAGGAACTGCCAGTAGACCGGGTCCTTGGCCCCTTGGCTGAGTGAATTAGGAAGTGCCTCTTTGCAACGCCGCGTTGTGATTAGCGCCAGTGCTAAATAAAACGCCGTGTGTTAGCCTAGGCAATCTGAAGCTTAATCTACCTTTCGTTTTGATGGCCGAAGTGACAGCACGTGTGCGTTTGAAGCCAAACCATTCTTTTATGAGCGTGGGTTCGATCCTGGTCCTGGAAGGTTTTTTTTTTTTTTTTTTTTTTTTTTTGGGGGGGGGGGTTGGTCCTCTTCTCGACTGACCAACAAATTTTCCCCTTAGGCCCTAATTATAACTTGTTGCTTTGTAGGCTGGCTTTTTTTAAATGTAGATTTAGATCTAGTGGTGAAGCATGCACATTTTGCTTTTGTCCCCAAGAGCCTTTTACCATTTATTAAAGTTCAATAGTGGCTTTCCTTTGTCTGTGAGTCTAATTATTATTTCTATTTTTTGTAATTTTAGGCTCAGGAGAAGAAAAAAAACCCTTCCGGAACCGGGATTCGAGCCGCGCTTGGAAGCACTGAACATTAGACTTAGGCCTAGCGAATGTAGACAGCTTGTATACGTTCTCTAGGCCTAACTTAAAGATAATATTTGAAGTAGATCTAGAATCTATTGTATAACGACACTGCGGACAGGAAATACTGCTTATACCGAGTTGCACCGTCTTGTTATTGTTATCCAAGTGTCTTTCGACTTACTTGCTCAAACTCAAAACTCAAATGATTGTGATTATGAGAGATGAACAAGACTACGTCTAGATGTAGTCTACTTTTGTGTAAACAATGTCAGAAACAATGTTTGGATCTAATCTAGATCTAGATCTAGACCTACCCACTATTGATCGGAATAAGACACGTCTTAAAAAAGGAGTCAAATCCCAGGAAGTTTATATCAAGAAACTGACAAAGCTTCCACAATTCAGGCAGAACTACAATATTATCATGTAGAAACGATGGCTATTAGATCTAGATCGAGATTCTAGGTGGCCTACTGGCGTTTCAAATAGCATGGGAGCTATTCAGAACGCGGCGTTGCAAATAGCGCTTGCCGGTGAATTAACCTGTAAACTTTTCTTTCCTTCTAAGCGGACTCTACTGGAGTTCCCGAGAAGAATTACTTCCATGACTTCTTTAAAACTTTTCTGGGGAAAAGTGCACTAGTCTACAAATGACCGTAGCAAACAATGTTTAAGGGGAGAGGGGGTTGTTTGTTGATTCTGTTGTTGTTGCTGTTGTTGGTTTGATGTTGTTGTTTTTTTGTTTGTTTTGTTGGGGTTTCTCTTTTTTGGTCTTTTTTGTTGCTTTTTTTTTTGTTTGTTTGTTTGTTTTGTTTTGGGGGTTTTTTTTAATGAGATACCCTTCTAAGCACGTATGACCCCAGCAGAGACAGAGAAGTATGAACGCCTAATTATAAGAAGCTACAGGCAGCTTCAATTATTCTCCCTTGTCCTTTCAAATTACGGACACTCCTTTTTCATTATTTTTTCTATTGGTTGAATTCGTCTAAGGTTTCTGAAATGCTATGGCTTGCAAGACTAAGCACTGCAACGCGGAAGCACAGACCACAATGTGAAAAAAAATTCAAAACTTGTTTTTGCCGGGCTCCAAGACGCCTTTACATTCCACAATCACGCACGGATGGGTGGTTCTGTTGTGTGGGACATATTTCTCTTCGCGTTCCCTTTTCTGCAGACGCCCTCGCCCCTCTTCTCAAAGAAGAGTTGCTAGCGTAAGATGTAAAACAATAACACGTGATGTCTCACAACATTCCTAACAGTAAGGGGGTGGGGGGAGGGGGTACACCCCCAAAGTCCCGATTAGGCTCAAAATTAGGGAATTTGAGTTGTGGGCATTATTAGCTTCCTCAGCCTCTCCCACAACTATTCCATTGCATAAGAACCCCCAGAGGCCTTATTTTTTACCATACCGGGCATGTTTGTCACCACAATTTTTTCATAAGGTTAATATTTCAATTTTATGTAATACTAAAACTTCGTTTGTTGAATTTTTTATATGTGGAATAAATTTTTGTCGGTGGCGTCTGGAGTGTGGATTTTCACGGATTTTTGACAAACTTGAATACTACCTCAGGAAAAAAAATTCATTAAAAAATTTTCTAATACATGCATGCAAAGAAAACCCAATCAATTTCCATGAAAATAAGTGCGGTATTCATAACGTAAGACATGTCAACAAAATCCAAAATGGCCGCCATATCCATGGAAATGAAACTTTTTTTCTCAAATTTGATTGCGGATTTCAAAACTCCTTACTATGCTTGTTATATGTGTGAAATTTGGTTAAATATTTGGTCTACTAATAAGCTAGATAGCCTTCTGGCGTAGCCCCCCCCCCCTTTTTTTTTTTAACATCCTGCAAGTCAGAAATCCGAGTCGAATAACTATAGAGTGTAATCGTTGCAAACGAATCTTATGATGAGCCTCCCCAATTGACAGATTTACATGGATGATTCGATAAACTCATAACTCGCTGTAGGGCGGCGCACTCGAAACTAATGGGCTATTCCAAGGTAACAGACGGGACATTTGGTCTATACTTTCTTACAATGATAACACTGTAATTCAATATCAATTAATCTATTTGAACTTTAAATGATCAGAACATTTGAAAGACATAATATTAAGAATCATATAAAATGCAGTTATTTGAAAAATGTAATGTTTGCAAAGTCTGTGACGAAGTTAGTTTCGGTAACTGACGGGACAAACAGTATTTTTTTTTCTATCCGTCGGTTACCGTTATAGACCATATTCGAGTTTGGAGAAGCACAGTCTCTTTATTCAAGTTTTCCGCTATGTCACCCACACGTAATTCTTGAGCCAACTATGATGACAGAGGTGACGTGAGTGGCCTAGTCTTAGTTGTTAGGCTTCCGCACCCGTAATCATGAGATTGCGGGTTCGGAGGTTCAAGCCTCAGCTCGGTCCGACGTTTTGTTCTTGGAAAAGGCACTTTACACGAATTTACCATTTGACTCGGTCCTTTCGAAGATGGACGTTAAATTCGAAGGTCCCGCTTCTTAAATAACCTGATAGTGTTGATAGGGGGCGTTAAATCTATGCCATTTCACGAATTATGTTTACGATGACAGGTCGGCTCCACAGTATCGCTGAGGCGTCATTACTTTTACGTCACTCAAAGAGCACTCGTCATTCGAGAATCGAACTCGGGTCTCCTGCACCCGACAGTGAAGCGCCTTACAGTTACAGCTACACCAGAGACGCTGATAGGGGAAGAAGGGACGACGGGAATATTAAAGTTTTGCAGTCGAAATTTTGTAGGTTCAATGTCCTTTTCAACGCTAAAGTCATTTAAGAGGCGAGACCTACGAATTTAATGTCCATATCCGACCGAACTGAGTCATATGGGTGGAGAACTTTAAACACTCCCCAAAACAACCCTATTTCAGAACACCTTTTTGAGGATTCGAACCACTGACTTCTGCTCTGTTGCCCAGCATAACACCAACTGAGCTAACTGAGTGTCCATAAAGGTTTGCATCATACTAAAAATCGCTATCAGACTGTAAAAAGTAGACATAATTTTCGCAATAACGGTGTATTTTTGCCTGATGCAGAATCATTCTGCAAGGCAGGAGTTTTGGGGGTCCCAAAAGAACGCAATCTTTAACAACACTTTCCAGATTGTAACAAAATCGAATCTATTTTGGTTTGTAATGTTTGCAGCCATCTGTAACTGTAACTCACAGACAGGCAACAAAGGCTGCCAAGAATATGCTCCTATGAATCTCATATACATCAACATTATCATGTGTGGGTGTGTGCAAGCGTGCCTAATTGTGCGCATGTATGTGTGTGTGTGTGTGTGTGTGTGTGTGTGTGTGTAAGTGGGTGTGTGTGTAAGTGTGTGTGTGTGTGTGTGTGTGTGTATTTTGTGTGTGGGCGTGCATGAGTGTGTGTATGTTGGTGCGTGTGTTTATAGATAACTAGACACATAAGCATTTGCACTCAAAAAGAAGACTATAAACAACACATCGAACAAAATCTGAAATTTTTAAAACTATTTAATTTATAAAAGCTACATAGCATTGTATAACGGAAACATCTAAAAAGCATTGAAGAAACAACAACATTTCAAACATTCTAAAGATGTTAAATGATTTTTTCTTAACACAACAAGAGGTTAAAAACCTATTTAATTATGTCCATATGTGGGATCGTCTGTGTCGGATTTAGAAAACCGGCCCGGGAGCTGGGAGGGAGGGAACTGTATGGATTTTATTTTCAATAACAATTTGCAGATTCCAGTGAGTACCAAGCTTTATAAGTTACTAAACTTTGGAGGCCATTACTCCTGAAACTTTCCCCTGTCCCCAGGCGACCCCAAACTGCTTCAATCGTAATTATCTTGACTTTTATTCCCAATAAATGGGTGTTTTTTTCATCAAAAGCAAGACAAATGAACAAGCTTGAAGGTGATTCCAGTATCTCCTTCTATGCCTCAAACGTGATAAGCTCCTGATTCCACCGTGTCGTGACACAACAGTTTAAGTGCAGTTTACGAAGGCGTGGCAGAGGTTTTGTTGATGTTGAAGGTGCCTTTCACCCCCCCCCCCCCCCCCCCCCATTTCCGATAAAAAATTGAAGCATCGCAAATGTCTAGTGGCGGGGGTAGATAACTCCGTGAAATTGTACTTATCAGGACATGTTGGGGAAGTGCAAGCCAGGAGCAGTTGGTGCAGACAGAGGAAGTGGTAGTAGAACAACGTCCCAGAATGGGCAGCCGAAGACTGAGAGACTGGATCGTTGTTCCGAGAAAGAAAAGGTGTGCACTGGAAGGGGGGGGGGGGTCAGAAGCATTTAAACAAAATGGATCATCTCTGATAATCCAAGATTGGAGTTTTTTCACATCTATACCGGGTCATCATCAAGCATGCAGCCGTTCTTACTGTTATCACCACTAGCAAGGTATACTATTGGGATCCCATTATGATGTTCCCAATACGACTCTGATTACTATACTGGACCTATCTTACACATGAAGAATTTCGGAATTACTATAGTCTACCATCTACAAAACTAGCCTTATCATAATCCTGTGTTGTCTTTATCAAATACATCACAAGCACAACGTGATACACATTTTCCAGACAAATATCAATTTAGACTATTCAAATGAAACTTAACAGGATTTATTCAACATAAAATCCACTCAAATTCAACATAGAAAGTTCAAACACCAACAACAGAGGGAGCAAATGTAATACTAGGAGGATCAAACATCAAAATGGAGCTTTGAAAAGTACGGTAACATAGAGAGTTCAGATTCAACAGGGACAATTTATGACGTCATGTGCGAATCAGATTCCAGCATTGTCAGTTCAAATTCAACATTGTCAGTCCAATTTCAACATTGTCAGTTCAAATTTAACACTATCAAATTCAACTCCTGTATTTTATGTACTATAGGTCATTTCTGTGATTATATCTGAGCTGGTATTTGCTTAAGTTTTCCATTGTGTTAAATGTGAATTGCCTATGTTGAATAAATTTGACAATTTAGATATGTTAACTTTCATTGTTGCATTTTTAACTCCATATCTTGATACATTTTGGTCGGGAAAAGATGTAAAAATCAGACGTGGCCATTTTGTAAAAATGAACATACATGTAGATGAAAAACCAACACTTTGTTAGTTGTGTGTAAGAACAAACGAGGACATCCCATCTATCTGTGTCCTTAGTGTATATTACACGTACGTGCAGTTCCGATTTTGCCGACGTTGTACATTAAGAGACCACAATGTCTCGACCACCGATGTAGCCTATGATTCCTCCTACAGCCACCAGTATGCCGCCCACAATGCTCAGGATGAAGGAGTAGCCAATGTCAAGTAGGGAGCTGTTGTCAGCATGGATAGCAGCACCCCAGATGATCACGCCGAGAAGGATGAAAAAAACTGATATGGAGGATGGGAGGGGGAGGGAGGGAGTGGGAAGGAATAATGGTTGGGGGCAGGAAGGAGGGAAATAGGGGTTAAGGGTGGGGTTATGGGGAGAGGGAAATGTAATGAATCAAGTAATAACTATGCTGTTGCACAAAATATTATCATATGATTTTAAAAAATTACATTTAAATTTGCAATCTTTTTTTTTTAAGTTACAGCTTTTTTCACCTTATTTCATGGACAGCCTTTTTGCTTAAGATCATGCCAGCCTGTCTGTCTGTCTTTTTGTCTGACTGTCTGTCTGTATGTCTGTCTGTCTGCGTGTCTGTATGTGTGTTTGTCAATCCATCTGTCTGCATGCCTTATTATCTTTGTGTGTCTTTTTGTTTGTCTGTCTGTCTTTAAAATCCAGAGTCAGTGATCTTCTTGAACTTCGTTTGTATATCAGGGCTATTCATTTATATGGCTCATTCGCATCGAGTAACTTCCAAAGCGGCAAGAAAAAATATCAACTGTTGCTCAGACTGCTTCTGCTGCTTCTACTTCCCCTTCTCCCCTCATGTGAACATAATTCCGCGCAATTTACCGATCGGCGCAATCTAAAGGCTGCCCTGCCCGTTTTAACGGTCGTATAATTGCGCGGCAATCTGAAGATTGACTTAAAATTTTATATTTCTAAAATAATTTATTTTTAAAATTCACTTCCATCTTTATTCTTTTAGTCACATCAAGAAACATTCATATATGTTTTCAAAAGTGTAAAAATATGAAAATTAAAATTAAAATTGAAATTAACGTACGAAACTAAAGAACTCACAAGAATGATACAATGCCACGTATCAAGAAGGGAAAAAATATGAAAATTAGAATTAGAATAATAATTAAAATTTACGTATGAAACTGAGGAGCTCAAGAGAATGACACAATCATACTACAGTTAAAACGCGCTGAGCAATCTTAAGATTGCTGCGTTATTATTCGATTGATAAATTTTAATTGAGCGAAATATATTATTTACTAATAATGGCATGTCTTTTTGTGCGTATGCGTGAGTGCACCTAACATGTAAAATCCACTACCATTGTAAACGACTACGACAAATTTCTCACTGCGAAATGAACACAGATTGTCATCTACTACTGCTGCTGCTGCTGCTGCTGCTACTGCTACTACTACTACTACTACTACTACTACTACTACTACTACTATTACTACTACTACTACTACTACTACTACTACTACTCCAAATATTACTTACTACTACCTTCACTACTACTACTACTACTACTTTTTCTTCTTCTTCTTCTTCTTCTTCTTCTTCTTCTTCTTCTTCTTCTTCTTCTTCTCCTTCTTCTTCTTCTTCTTCTACTACTACTACTACTACTACTACTACTACTACTACTACTACTACTACTACTACTACTACTACTACTACTACTACTACTACT